AAAAAGAAAATAATGGTTAGGCAAGGCGAGGCACTTCCCCTTTCCCCAGGCGACCTCAGAGCAGGGCTGGGCCAGAACCAGGCCCCTCCTCTTACATCTGTTCTCACCCCTTTGCCTGAGATGCCTCTCCTGAATACAATGCAGACCTTGCATTGTTTGGAATCTAATATAAAAATCTCTTCTTAAAAACAAGTGACTCAGGGAGCTGGTGGTGGTGGAGCTGCTGCCGCCCGCCCCAGAGACCCCGTCGCAGTTCTGGCTCTCTGCTTCAGCATGGCATAGCCCAAGCCACTGCGGCCATTGGGGCAGTGAACCAGTGGATGGACAAGCATGCTTGCTCTCTCTGTAACTCTAACTTTAAGATGCAAAAAAAAATCTTTTTAAAAAGCAGGAAAAAAGTCACTATGTCCCTTGGGCCCTGGACACTGGTTGTAGGGCCAGGGAGGAGTCCCAGCACGGTTACCCACTGTGTTTCTCTTAGTGTTGTGTGTGGGTACAGGGGCGAGTGTGGGGTGAACACCTAAGGTTTCTTTTAGGATGAAACTCCACATGAAAACGCAAAGTTTCAGAGTTGAATTGTAGCATTTTCTGGACACAGAGTGTAATGATGTATCTAGGGGCCGCAGGGGCGCAGGGGCGGGGGTTAGCCCTGGCTGCCTGGGTCTTGGTGTTTAACCTATGCTTCCACTTCCACTGTTTGATGTTTGGGGGCCTGTAACTTCTAGGAATACAACCCAACCAGTAAGCTTGCTTCTGGCAGTTCCGTGCTGCTGTGGTGTTTCTGCGGTATCTGTAACGTCTGAGGTTTTTTTTTTTTTAATTGATTTTTTTTAATTGATTTGTTTAATTGTTTTGGAAAGTCAGATTTACAGAGAGAAGGAGAGACAAAGATCTTCCACTTGTTGGCTCACTCCCCAAGTGGTTGCAACAGACAGAACTGAATTGATCTGAAGCCAGGAGCTCTTCCAGGTCTCCCATGTGGGTGCAGGGTCCCAAGGCTTTGGGCCGTCCTCGAATGCTTTCCCAGGCCACAGGCAGGGAGCTGGATGGGAAGTGGAGGAGATGGAACTTGAACTGGTACCCATTTGGAATGCTGGTGTGAAAGGGAGGAAAATTAGTCTGCTGTGCCACCACATTGCCCTCCCCCTTCGCCCCGTGTAGCTTTTCAATTAGTAAGACCAACTCTCCCCTGATTCCAAGGGTGATCCCCTGAGCTGTCATTTTAAACACTTACTCTTTACAAGTTTTAACATTCTGCTGGAGGCAGAAAGCCGTAGGGGCCAGCAGGTGGTGGCTCAAGGACTTGGGTCCCTCCCCCACCTGTGGGGGCACCTGGAAGGTGTTCCTGGCTAGGGGCTTTAGGTCGGCTCTGACCGGTTGTTGAGCCATGTGGAGAGTGAACAGGAGACGGAAGGTCTCTGTCACTGCCTTTCAGTAGTGTTACAGATGGGAGAAGGCCGACAGACGGGAGGGAGGGGAGGGAGGATCCAGAGCAAGAGCGAAGCCCGTCTGCTGAAAGCCCCGTCCGCTGGAAGCCCCGTCCGCTGATGCTGTTCTGAGATCTTTACCACAGCCCTGGCCGGGGCTGAGACCCAGGCGCTCTGTCCAGCTCTCCCATCCTGGAGGCAGGTGCACCCAGCTCTGCCCAGGACTCAGGAGCTGGTCACCACACCCGGGCACTCTCCCCTACACTTCTCTAGTTTGAAAAGTCGGAGTTACAGAGAAAGAAAGGGGGAGAGAAATATTCCATGTGCTGGCTCACTCCCCAGGTGGTCCCAACGACTGGAGCTGGGAGAGGATGAAGCCACGAGCCCTTCAGGGTCTCTCATGTGGTTGCACAACCCCAAGCACTTGGACCATCCTCCACTGCTCTCCCCCAGGTACATCAACAAGTAGCTGGATGGGAAATGGAGCAGTCGGATGCGAGTCGGTGCCCATATGGGATTCCAACATCGCAGGTGGAAGTTTTGGCCGCTATGCCACAGCGTGGGACCTCCTGCCTGTCTTCATGAGTCTCTCTTTCCTTTGCCTTTCGTCTCTCTGATGACGTTGATGCTGCTCGCGTGCCTTCTGATGCTCTCCGTCTCCCAGCTGCATGAAAGTGGAGCGCTCTTGTCCGCGCTCCAAGCAGCCTGCCCTGTACAGCCTCCCCCTCCCCGTGCCTCGGCGCCTGCTGTGTCCCCACTTGCCCCTCCCACTCCCCCGACCGTGCCAGCGTCTTCACTTTCCAATCCACGCCGTAATTTTGCATCTCTGTGGCGATGGCTTTACAGGGAGGCATCTTTATGAGTCTTCCCATTCCATTTTAGTCCTTTTCCCATATTTGAATGAGCTGGATTTTCCTGGACCGGTGACCAACAGGAGGCGTTGGTGGAAATTGGGAGAGAGGCCAGGATAGGCGTCTGGGTGGTGTCTCTGCTGAAAAAAATAAAACCTCCTTCCTCTGTTGCCATGGTGATGGGATGTGCCTTTTAAAAAAGATTTATTTATTTGAAAATCAGAGTTACAGGGACAGAGAGATCTTCCATCCCCTGGTTCACTCCCCAAATGGCTGCAGTGGCCAGGGCTGAGTCAGGCTGAAGTCGGGAGAGAACCATAGAAGTCCTCTATGTAGCTGCAGGGTCCCCAAGGTACTGGGCCATTCTCTGCTGCTTTCCCAGGCACATTAGCAGGGAGCTGGATGGGAAATGGAGCAGCTGGGACTTGAACTAATGCCAGTATGAGATGCTGGTGCTATGGGCAGGTGCTTTACCTGGTATACCACATTGCTGGCCATCGAGCAGTTCTTTAAACCTGGCCCTGCCCGTATGCTCGCTATGGTCTCACAGGGCCTCTGTGCAGCGTGAGCCCTCCTGCTTCATGCGGCCACAGCACACCACCCTGTGCCCTCTTGTGTTTGAAAGGGAGGTTTTCTGGAATCTTCTACCGCTGGCACCCTGCTGGGCCCCTACTCTCCCCACCTGTCTGCCCTCCCTGGGGCTTGCAGGTGTTTGGGTTTTGGGTCTGGCCCTCCTGCTGGTCTCCCTAAAGTTGCAGCTACAGTCTGTTCCCGCTTTGCCCTGTATCTCACTGATTGTCTACAGATGTGGGTGGGAGGGGGAGGACTCCTCGCAGCTGCCGCCTCGTGCAGTGGGAAACCCGGCCCTGGCCCCGGCAGTCCTGAGTGTGAGAACCTGCTCCCGGCAGCCGGCCACCGCCTGCTTGGTGCTGGCCTGGTAAGCCCAGCTCGGAAGCAGCCCTCCCTTCCCATGGGGGCCGCTCACACGCCCCAGGCTGAAACAACGTGGGCACTTGCGCTCTGAGTGATAGGGAAAGAGAGCAGGGGACAGCTGGAGTGGGCACCCTGATGGTCCTTGCTCACACCTAAGGAGGGCTCTGGGTTCTGGAACTAAAGTTTCAACACAGGCTCACACAGACACACACACAGGTGTACACAGACACACACACAGGTGTACACAGACACACACACAGGTGTACACAGACACACACACAGTTGCACACACACAGGTGCAGGTGGCGGGGAGGGCATCTGATTCAGTTCTCTAGAAGCAAAAGTGAGGGAGTGAGAAGCTGAGGGGTGGGGAGAGCCTGGGGTGGGAGCCAAGATGGAGGTATAGGGACCAGCCCTGCCTGTGCTGTGTCCTGGCCTGGAGGGCCCTGGGGGAGTGACCCTGAGTGTCCCTCTCCCCAGCCCCCTCAGAGACACCCTCCCCCCGAGTCTGTGCCGAGCCACCACGTCCGTGGGCATCTGCTGGGCAGCCGTGGGGTGCTCTCTCAGGAGTTGGGCCAAGGTCTACCCTGATCCCACCCTGAGCCTGCACAGGGGCAGGAGTGGAACTTCGGCTGAGTCTCACTGTCCCCTTTGGGCCACTGTCTCCAGGGGCCCAGCTCTGCCAGGAGGTGGTGGCCAGCATGGTTCTGTAGGGTCAGGGTCAGGCAGTGCTGGGCTCAGCAGTGGTTCCTCTACTGGGGGCCATGAAGGAACAGGGAGGGCACGAAGGGCTGCCACACCTGGGCTGAGGGCAGGCCCAGAGGGTCAGAGCTGAGCCCTGGCCTTCTGTCTCCGCCAGCCCATTCTGCTCAGCCCTCCCCTCCCTGCAGTCACGTATGGGGCTGACATGGGAGCCGTAGGCATCCCAGGCCAGGGCAGTGACCACAGCGGTACAGGCCCGGAGGTGGCAACAGCCGTGTGCCAGCCTCGGCAGATGTGGGCCAGGGCACAGCCTGCGTTGGGAGGCCCTTGTAGGGGAGGAGAAGGGAGTGAGGCCGGGGCATGCTTTGGGCCTGAAGTCACACGTGCCCAGCCCTGTGCAGTTTCTATTCCTGGGTCTTGGGCTCTGACACCAAATATAGCTCCACTCAAGGCTGGCACCCCCAACCGTGGTCAGGAGTGGATGTGGGCAACACGGCCCACCTCCCACTGTCTCCCCCCGCCCCTGAACTGTGATGGAGTCAGATCCCAGCCACACCATGGTGCCCCCGATGGCCGGGGGGGGGGCGTGGGCTGTTCATCAGCTGTCCAGTGTGGTTCATGTCAGGTTACAAACACTCAGGACCAAAGTAACGCCTCTCCTTGCTGGAGAAAGATGGGGTGGTGGGTTTACACCACGGCTCTGTTCTTCACGGCCCTGAAGCTCGGCTGGCCCCTGACCCCCAGCGTCCCTCTGTGCCTTCTGGCTGCCTGGCGTGTGAGTGGGTGTCAGGGAGATGTGCATTCTGTCCTGTGTGCCAGTATTGCCCCCCACAAGGCCAGCCCTGGGGAGATCAGAGCCCCACGGCCTCCTGCTTCTCCCTGCACTGAGGCTGGGCACTCACCGCCCCCAGGAAGCCATCCAGTGGCTTCCTCCTTCACCCAGCTCCCAGTGGGGGCGTGGAGGATAGCGCTCTGCCTAATTCTTGCTTTCTCTGGGACCCCCATGCACGGCCTGACTCTGAAAGTGGCTCCCAGGGCAGGTGTGGCCAATGAGTACCTCCTTTTGACACTTGCCCATCTTTTGCAGGTGGGTCAGCAAGCATTGAAAGCGAGCAGTGGACCCACGTGTGTGCTGGTGGAGGAAGTTGGCCACTGAGCCAGGAAAACCACTGTGCTGGCTGGGACCCCTGCTCTTCACCGTGCACTGTCCATGCTGGTCAGTTTCCAGCCAGTGACGCCATCCAGGGCCCCTGTTCTCCACACTGTCCTGCCGCTGTCTCTCTCTGTCCTGGGGGAAGGGAAGGAACTCCCCCCTCCTTGGTCCCCCTCGCTCCTCCCATGCCCCCTTCACGCCTCTGTGCCTGGTCCTTGGAGTGGCAAGAATGCCTCTGTGCCTTGGGCTGCTCAGGGCCAGAGCCGTGTGGCCTGGACTATGTGCCCTGGCCCTGCCACCTGCTGTACGGGACCTCTGAAGTGCCAGGTGTGGCGTCTGCTGGATGGGGAGGTGCTCACCGCCTGGGGGTGGCCGTGGGGCTTAGGGGGTGACTGACCTGGGACAGCTCCTCCCTCCAGAACCTGTGCACAGCCTGGAGGCCGACGCTGCAGGTGGAAAGCTGAGGCCCCACAGTTCAGGGCCAGCTGCAGCCCGAGCATCCCCACAAAGCCCCACTCCAGGGGCAGGGCCCACTCCTGTTTGTTCCCCAGGGCATATGGCCAGGAGAGGGCAGGAGCCGTGATTAGAGGTTTTGGACCTCAGCACCTCCTCCCTGCCACTTCCCTCACACACTGGGCTCTGTGGAAAGTGCAGTCCCTGTGGGTGGGTGCTGGAGCCACCCAGGGGGGCAGGAAACCCCCCAGAGCTTTGGGGCCCGGCAGCATCCACCCACGGGCTGGAGTAGCCTCAGCACCCCCTGAGTGAGCCAACACCCATGCCAGCCAGAGCCCCCTCCTTGTGGCAAAAATTCTCAAGATTACTTAGAGTTTGCTCCAAGCCCCCTCGTGGAGCTGAGGGGTGTAAGAGTTGGGTCTCAAGTCATGAGCGGCCAGCCCCAGCAGGCATGGCCAGGCCGAGCCACACTCCTGTGTGGCCATTGCCCACTGTGGACCCCAGCCTGGGCATTCTGGGAAGGAAGCGTTGCGTCCCAGGGTAGGCGGACTGGGAGTGCTGGCACCTACCTGAGGGGTGCGTGTCTCTTGCAGATGAGCCGGCGGCTCCCTGTGATCGGGGATCTGGGAAGACCATGTCCAGCCCCCCTGACTGGCTGCTGCGTCTGCTCCCCAGCGCCCCGAGGCAGCGCATCTGCGCCCTCTTCCTCATCAGCTTCAAGTTCACATTTCTGGTCTCCGTGGTGATCTACTGGCACGTCGTGGGAGGGCCAGGGAACCAGGGACAGTTGCAGAACCTGCCTGCCGAGGTCCCCTGCCCGACCCTGGAGCCCCCCGCACCGCCCTCCGGCAGCTCCACGCCACTGCCGCCAGCGCCCAACATCTTCTTCCTGGAGACCTCGGACCGCACCAACCCCAACTTCCTGTTCATGTGCTCCGTGGAGTCGGCGGCCAGAACCCACCCCGAGGCCCGCGTGGCGGTGCTGATGAAGGGGCTGCCGGGGGGCAACGCCTCCCTGCCCCGGCACCTGGGCCTCTCGCTGCTGGGCTGCTTCCCCAACGTGCGGCTGCTGCCGCTGCAGCTGGAGGAGCTGTTCGCAGGCACGCCCCTGGCCGCCTGGTACGCAGCGGCGCGCCGGCGCTGGGAGCCCTACCTGCTGCCCGTGCTCTCGGACGCCTCGCGCCTCGCGCTGCTCTGGAAGTTCGGGGGCATCTATCTGGACACGGACTTCATCGTGCTGCGGAGCCTCGGGAACCTGACCAACGCGCTGGGCACGCAGTCCCGCTACGTGCTCAACGGCGCTTTCCTGGCCTTCGAGCGCGGCCACTCCTTCCTGGCGCTGTGCATGCGTGACTTCGTGGCGCATTACAACCGCTGGGTCTGGGGCCACCAGGGCCCGCAGCTGCTCACGCGGGTCTTCAAGAAGTGGTGCTCCACCCGCAGCCTGGCCGAGAGCCACGCGTGCCGCGGCGTCACGGCGCTGCCCCGCGAGGCCTTCTACCCCATCGCCTGGCAGAACTGGAGGAAGTACTTTGAGGAGGTCAGCCCCGAGGAGCTGAGCCGGCTGCTCAGTGCCACCTACGCGGTGCACTTGTGGAACAAGAAGAGCCAGGGCACGCGCCTCGAGGCCACGTCCAGGGCGCTGCTGGCCCAGCTCCACGCCCGCTACTGCCCCACCACACACGAGGCCATGAAGATGTACTTATAAGGGTCCAGGTGGGCCCGCATGGAGACAGGTGCTGGGCCAGCCTTCCCGGGGAGGTGTGGGAGGTTCTGAGCTGTGGCACCCGCATTTTCAGCCAGTGTTCCAGGCACAGGCCCTGGAACCGACCCAAAGGAGCTCCGTGAGCTTCCGGAGCCTTCTAGAACCCTCGGGAAGCATGAGCAAGCCCGGGACAGCCTGCAGGGCAGGGCTGGCCACTGGGAGACACAGCACAGGCACCCCCGCCCCAAGCCCAGGGCTGGTACTGACCTTGGAGGGACCAAGCTGCTGCGCCTGCCCCTCGCCCCTTCTCCTCTCTGAACTGGGGTTGCGGGAGGAGCATTCCAAGCGACACCCCACACCCCTGGATGGATCCCAAAGATCTCAATCAGAGCGACTCACTGGTGCCCCCTGCTGTGTGGTTGGTGAGGCGGGTTCCCACGCGCGCCTGTCTTAGCCCTGGAAGTGGACAGTGGCTGGGGCTATGGGCCTGCAGCCGCTCACATCCCCTGGGTGAGGGGAGACCCTGCAGTGGGGAAGACAGGAGCCTGATGACTTGCAGGCCCCCACCGGCGTTCCTACCTCTACCCTCTGATGAGCTCCCATTGTTTTGTTCCAAATGAAGCCAGGGCAGGGCCACCAGGCCCAGGAGGGCTGTCGGTAAGGGAGGTGTGGAGGCCTGGCCCAGGGACAGCTGTGGCGGCCTGAGGCCTGTGCCGGAGGGCGTCGTCCAGCCGCCCTGGGGAGGTGAGAGCCCTTTCCAGTACCTCGGCTTCTGCAGCCACGCGCAGTAGGGCCCACGGAGGAGGGACGGGCAGGGGGAAGGCACTCCTGGAACCTAGTTTCAGAATTGGCTTTCCCTAAGTGGGATCAGCCTGTGCAAGGCATGCTGGGGATGGGACTGGCAGGCCAGAGACTCCGGCATCAGGGGGTGCGGGGGGTGGTCTCCACTTCTGGAGCCGGTGCAGCAGCCAGTAGGGGTGAGTCGGGAGGGGCGGAGGGGGATGGTGATGCCCCTTGGCCAGAGGTATTCCCGCTTCCCATGAACCTCCTGGGCGCTTGCAGCTCCACACTGCCAAAGAGCTCTGTCAGTTCCCAAGTGGAGCAAGTTCGATGTGGCCGGAGGATGCCTCAGCCCTGCCTCACGTCCCCAGCCCGGGGTCAGTGTCCCAGGTCCGCGGGTCCTCTCTGCCGTCCCTGACTGGTGGTTTATGGGCTCCTGGCCAGCTGGGAGGGAAGCGGGCAGAGGGTACTGAAGCTAAGTCCTTCAGGAGACAAAGCCAAACACGGTGTGGATGTCTATTGCCACACCCCTGCCTGAGTGGCACCCGCAGACACCAGGAGCGTGTGTTACCATGGGGTTGGGGAATAGTTCGCACATATCTGCTGTCCCAAACGCGGGGTCTGCTGACAGGTGTCTACTGGGTGGGTGAATCACACAGCTCTTCAACGTTTCCTGTAAAAGGTGGCAATTTCAGGTTTCAGGCTTGTTGCCTCGTGGCCCCAAAAGGGCTGCCATTGCTCCTTGGGGCCACACCCTTGCGCAACAAGCAAAGAAGTAGTGTCTGACCCCTGTTTCCGTGAAGGTTCTCTCGGAGGCCTTCTTTGCCAGCTGTCTCATTCACACTCCAATTCCTTGCAAAGGAAGTGCAGTGACCAGAGCTGACTGCGGGCCCCTTAGCCATTCCAGGAGGGTCCGTACTGGCTAAAGGAGCCAATGGCACCCACAGGAGACACGGGTCCTTCCTGCCTCTGCCCAAACCCAGGGGCAGAGGGCTGGGTTGGAAATGGAACAGCCAGGGCTGATGTCCTAAGGGGCAGCACTGTGGTCAATGTCATTTTGATTTATTTTCACTTCCTCCGTGTTTGGCCAGGCGCTGTCCTCGGGGAGGGGGCTGGCACGCCTGAGCAGGGGCTCCTCATGCAGGAGTGGCCCAAGCAAGGGGCAGTGACCGGAAGCTCAGAGGCCTGGCCTGTCCTCTGAGGCTGAGGCCACCCCGTCACCCTCTGGTCCAGTCCGGCTTCTGCCTGCGCCCCTATCCCAGGTCAGCTAACCCTCGGCTCAGCTCTGTGCGCCTCCCACCCTTGGAGTGTCCCCACTCTGCCCCAACCCCTAATCCTCCTATCCCAGGGTAGCCCCACCCAACCCATTGGCCTCCCCTGAAATCCTTCTTCCCCCAGGACGTGTCCCATTCTGGACTTACTGGAGAAAAGAGGCTCATTAACAAAAATAGTCGGGCCCGGCGCCGTGGCCTAGCTGCTAAAATCCTCGCCTTGAATGCGCCGGGATCCCATGTGGGCGCCAGTTCTAATCCTGACAGTTCCACTTCCCATCCAGCTCTCTGCTTGTGGCCCGGGAAAGCAGTTGAGGACGGCCTAATGCTTTGGGACCCTGCACCCGTGTGGGAGACCTGGAGGAAGTTCCTGGCTCCTGGCTGCGGATCGGCGCAGCACCGGCCGTTGTGGTCACTTGGGGAGTGAATCATCGGACGGAAAATCATCTCCTTCTCCTATCTCTCCTCCTCTCTGTATATCTGACTTTGTAATAAAGATAAATAAATCTTAAAAAAAAAAGTCAACTAAAAAAAACCCTAAATGACTTGGGAAAAACTGAGCTTTATAAAATTGCCATAAATGCTGCAGCTTCCCGGAGGGCCTGGGGGAAACTCAGCCACAAATAGCTTCTTGCTTTCCATTCGGGCTTTTATTATGCTGTCTGAGTTCAGCTGGATGGCAGAAGGTCAACGCTGGGGAGCAGGGCAAAGAATTCACTTGGGGGAGAGAGAGAGAGAGAGAGAGAGAGAGAGAGCAGACGGCCTGCACTACAGAGTCCAGCCCCTACTGGTGGCCACAGCCCAGCCTGCCCCATGCTGAGCCTTGACGGTGACCACCAGAGAAGCCGCGCCCTCCGGCCTGGCTGCCACCCGCCTGGACCAGCCTCCTTGCACACAGTGGATGATCTGTAACTCAGCCAGCGCCGTGCAACATCCTGAGTCAGTTCATGTTGGCCCAGGGTCCGAGGTAAGCTGCCCCTGAGGACACCTGCGTTGCATTCCTTGTCCCTGGCTCTAGCTCGGGACTCCGAACTCCGGCCCCCTGCCCTGGGCCCCCTGGGAGGAGGCTGTGAGGGCCCAAGGAGTTGTTCCCCTGCCCCTCCCTGTGGGAGACCTGACCCAGCCACCGTGGGTCTTTGGGGAGTGAGTGAGCAAATGCTTCTCTCTCTCTCTCTCTCTCTCTCTCTCTCTCTCTCTCTCTCTCTCTCTGCTTCTCGGAGCCCCAGAAACACTCCAAAAGCCCCTGAAACCCCACTCTGTCCCTTAACACGCATCTCCTGTCTCATGACCCGAAGCAGCTGCCATGTCTCCTGCCTTTGCACTGACCCCCAACCAGCAGACCTGACCTAATGTTCATTCCCGTTCGCATCATCGCTGCTCTAACCCCATTCCCTTTGTTGCAAGGGGAGCTGGAAGAATGCGTGCTGAGCTCAAGTTCCAATGCTGTGTGAGACAGGCAGCATGGGAGGAGCCTGGGGAGCAGCCAGGCACGCCTGCCACGGAGCTCTGCTGTCGGGAAATGTAGACCATTGTCCCGCGTGGTTTCCCAGAAGGTTCTGTGCCGGAATGTGAAGAACGTCTCATTTATTTTGCTTGGAACTCATGAACGTCTTGGGCGCTTTGTTGTGGGAGCCAAAGCTGCCGCCCAGCGCAGTGTCGGGGCTTGGCTGCTGGTCCAGCGGGTGGGCTCTGGAACCTGTGCCAGTGGCCATGCTGTGCACCTGCTCCCCACAGGCACCATGGCTGTGGGTCACAACGGCCTGAGCTGATCCACAGGCAGGAGCCAAGAACTTCTTCCAGGTCTCTCAGGCAGGCCCAGGGTTCCAAGGTTTTGGGCTGTCCTCAGCTTTCTCAGATGACACGCAGGGAGCTGGATGGGAAGTGGAACTAGTGGGATTTGAACATGCGTCCATATGGGATTCTGACATGTAAAGGTGGAGGATTAGCCAGTGGAGCCTTCGTGCCATGTCCCCATCTTCTCTCTCTCTTTTTACAATGCACTTGAGACCTTGTGGATACAGTCAAGCTCACAGGAAAAGCTTTTGGAATTCTGGCTGGCTGGGAGCCTGCCATGGTGCTTAGCAGTGCAAGCATTGGCACAAACGCCTTGTTTGCCCAGCTGTGGTCTGTCGGGCCACGCCTCCTCTCCTGCAGACTTTCTGTGAGAAGCTAAGCGAGTGGCCCCGGGACGAGCAGGGAGGCCAGGGTGGGGACAGAATGACCACAGCCACCATAAAAGCACAGTAAGGCTTCAGCATGCGGGTCCTCAGATTCTCCCCACGTCAGCGTGAACACACACGGGCGGGGGCAGGGGGAGCTGCCTCTGGACTCAGCCGGAAGTCTCCTGGTCCCTACGCCTGCACCACACAGCCGTCTCTGGTAGCTGCCAGGCTGGGAAGGCACATGTCACCCACAAACCCATGCCACTTCCATCAGGGCCTCGAGGAACCCGAGGATGCGGGCAGTTTCCAGGTCAAGCTGACTTTTCTGGGACTGGTCCAACAGCCTTCGAGGTCTGTGCTGTGTGCCTGCCAAGGCTGGGCTGGGGCAGGTGCTGGGGTCTTGGTCCAGGCTGTGGAGTGAGCTCGGGCTGCCCCAGTGCCACCCACCTCACAGCTTTCTAAAGTCCCAAAGTGTCCCCCCCATGCCATACGTACCGACCCTAAGGGTCGCAGGCTGACCCCCCCCTGGTTCCTACCCTATCACTCTCCCAGTAGACCCATCAAGGGCCCCTACCTCCACCAAAAGCTGGGAATGACATATGGGTGACCATAAAGAAACCGCCAGTGTCCCTCCTGTGCCAGCGCAAAGGGCAGAATGGAACGGTGCACAGCGGCTGCCAGAACCCTGTCTCCACAGGCACCCCCCAGGGGTGCCCCAGCAAATGAAGATGGCCCGACTATTCGTGCCCTTGAACCTGCACGGGAGACGTGGAAGCAGCTCCTGGTTCTCGCCTGGCGCAGCTCTGTCATTGCAGCCATCTGGGATGAACCGGCACGTGGAAGACTTTCACTCTAACTTTACCTTTCCAATAAATGAATCTTTTTTTTATAAATAAATCTTCTTTGTAAAGATTTATTTATTTTTACTGGAAAGGAGAGGCAGATATACGGAAAGGAGGAGAGACAGAGAGGAAGATCTTTCATCCGATGGTTCGCTCTCTAAGCAGCTGCAACAGCTGGAGCTGAGCCAATCTGAAGCCAGGAGCCAGGAGCCTCTTCCAGGTCTCTCATTCAGGTGCAGGGTCCCAAGGCTTTGGGCCGTCCTCAACTGCTTTCCCAAGCCACAGTCAGGGAGCTGGATGGGAAGTGGGGCTGCCAGGATTAGAACCGGCACCCATATGGGATTGCAGTGTGTTCAAGGAAAGAACTTTAGCCGCTAGGCCACCATGCTAAGTCCAGAAAGGAGGCTTTACAAGGTGTGGGACTGTCCTAAGACCTGAGGGCGGAAGCCAGAGTCAGTGTTTGCTCCTGCCCTGGACCAGGAACAGTTAAGCTGTGAGGCAACAGGCTGCAGGTGTTATTTTAACATCAGGAATCAGAATTGTTTTTGCAAGGTCTGCACAGAACTGCGCGGGTCTCTGCATTC